GGCAGCACGTTGCCAGGAAAGAGCATGTCCCATGTCTGGCACCATGTGCAGGTTGCGGGCTTAATTGGGGCTGGGGTGGCAGTGGGGCTGGCACTGGGCTGCGTCCCCTCTGGGCTCACACACCATCTCTCCCCCCAGCTGGACCCACAGGCTGTGCAGACAAAGAACTGGCACATGGATGTGATTGAGATGAACGGGGTAAGTGGGGACCCCCAGCCCCTGGCTTTGATTGCAGCCCCTTGCCCCCCAGGGCTGTGCCATGCTTTCTTGTGACACGGAGGTGACCAGGCTGCTGGGACTCACCCCCTGTCTCCCACAGATCAAGGTAGAGTTCTCCATGAAGTTCACGAGCAGAGATATGAGCCTGAAGAGGACCCCATCCAAAAAGCAGACCGGTGTCTTCGGGGTCAAAATCAGTGTTGTAACGAAGTACGTGTGGGTCTCAGGGGGCTGATCTGCTCTGGTCACTGTGGGCGTGGGGTTGCACCACGTCCCCTTGCTCCCACCAACACCAGAGTGCTTGGCTTTTCCTCTCTTCTGAGTGAGGTCTTGCTCGTTCCTTCGCCAGCCCCATCCTTCCCACCCAGCATGCCCACCCTGACCCTGGCCCAGGGTTTGCCCCTGGCCACCGCGGGGTCCCCGGGGAATCTTTGCTCACGGCTCCGCTTTCCGGGCCAGGCGCGAGCGCTCCAAGGTGCCTTACATCGTGCGCCAGTGCATCGAGGAGGTGGAGAAGAGGGGCATCGAAGAGGTTGGCATCTACAGGATCTCTGGCGTTGCCACCGACATCCAGGCGTTGAAAGCTGTCTTCGATGCAAGTGAGTGCCCCGGGGGGACGGCCACCCTTCGTGTCCTGTTCCCCTGGGAGGGTTCACAGGCTCCAAAACCCCCTAGGAAAGGGCTGGGGGTGAGGAGGAGAGTGTAGCTGGGAAAGCAAGCGCCCAGAGCTCCTGGCCTTGTTTGTGCCTCGGTGTCTCTGAGCTGCTTGGCTGGCTTCTGGGAGACACTGAGTCAGGGCAGTGTTGCAAATGGATTTGCAAATTGTTCCACGTCCCTTTGCCTGGCCATGCGGGAACTGCTCGGCTCTTCCCAGCCCCAGCCTGGCTAAATGGGGCTGTGCACCCACCGGTGCTGTCCCTGCCCTCTGGCCAGCAGCCTGCCTGGAGAGCTGGGCTGACGTGGGAGGTTGAGACCCAGAGGGGAAGGAGGCACAGGAGGCGTCACATGTGGGTGCTCTCTGGACAGATAACAAGGACATCCTGGTCATGCTGAGTGACATGGACATCAATGCCATCGCCGGCACGCTGAAGCTGTATTTCCGTGAGCTGCCCGAGCCCCTTCTCACTGACAGACTCTACCCTGCCTTCATGGAGGGGATTGGTAAGGCCTTGGGCATGGGGCAGGGGCTGGTGCTCATGTATGGCTCTGTTGGGCATTGCCTGCTCTGGCTTGGGAGACTCCCGCGGGTCCTTCCCAGTTCAGCCCACTCTATCCTGGCTGACCTTAGCTCCAGGCCAGCCTGGGGCTCGTGGTGCTGCTCCCCAGCTCCCGTGCTGGGAGGAGGCATCTGGGCATGGTGGGTCCCACTGCTGCCCGAGATGTCACCAGCCCCTGTCCTGAGCCCTCTCCCTCCTTGTCTCCAGCCCTCTCGGACCCTGCTGCCAAGGAGAACTGCATGATGCACCTTCTCCGCTCGCTGCCTGACCCCAACCTCATCACCTTCCTCTTCCTGCTGGAGCACTTGAAAAGGTAACGGCCCAGCGTGGGGCCCCCGGGGCCGCCGGGCACAGGCAGGTGTGGGACGGGTCTGTCGAGCTGCTTTGCCCCGGGGGTGGGACGTGAGCAGGGTCAGAGCCACTGTCTGATTCCCGTGCTGCCTGTGGGCTCATCCTGAGCTGGAGGCAGATGGTGCTGTGCCGGAGCAG